TGGTGGCAACCATGTTTTGTACCATCACCACCACCCGTCATTGGGGTACCAACATCAGGGGAGGCAGCAGCACCACCTTATGCCAGGGGCGCAAGGCCAGAGGCAACCGGTGCATACGGCGGTTCCTCTTAATGCAAGTAAGTACTATCATGGTGGTCTTTGCTTGAATGATTTTGAGATTTTTATAAATAGTGGCCGTTAGACGTAAAAACACGAAAATCTTGGAACCTAGGCCAATTGGAGGGATTTATGAGATGTTCAGTGGAGTCACTTCAAAATACTGTGTATTAAAAAGCATACCTATTTGTTTTTAAGAGTTTTTTGATTTTTATTTGTGTTTATTTCTTTTGTAATTCCATTTTCTATATTATATACGACTACTAAGGTTTATAATATGCCATCTGGTAGGTGTCATTAAACTAAACAAGTTCATCAAAAATGTATTTTAGAGAGACACTACTGAAATATAAGACGTTCGTTTCTTTCTTCCTCAAAAGAAACCTTGTGTGCAGCAATAATCCTATTTTTGTCACATTTGCCAACATGGTCATAATTCATGCGTTGAAAGCTTTTTCTTACGCACTGATATTTTCTATAGAGTCACTGGAGCAACAACTTATGATTGAGTCGCGACATCACACTGGTTATATGTTTGTCCAAAATAAGTTAAAATGCGATGAAGCTCTATAATCATGCGTAAAGTATAAAAAAGTGTAAATAAAAAAATAAGCTTAAAAATATTATACACAGTACATTCACAAATCACTAAGATGCAGACATTTAAAAAGTATTAAGACTTGACACTAATAAAAGTCTTCTTCACGACATTTAAATATTCAAAAACAAAAAATAAATCTGATCTGAAGTATAGCTAGAGGATTAAAATATAGTAAAAACAAAATGAATGGAAAAAGCACACTACAAATATACATATGAAATTCATCACATTCATACAGACCGGTTACTATATCTGGGCTTTACATAGAGGCATGTACATCGTTTTGCCGTCTATATACTCGTAGATTTTTTTCTAGGGATGATTTTTATTCACAATGAAATAGTTTTTTTCAATATTCCAATATTTTGTAATGTTTTGTAAACGATAGGCATTTCATTGTACAGCTTGGATCATAGATAAATCCAAGAGCGTTGTAATAGTATTTTTCCGGCATGGATACTATTTGTTGCACAGTCGCTTTCTGGCGGGTGTCACATTTATGGATCACTTTAATTTCAATTTATTTTAAATTACTTGAGTGACTTAGATAAATCGGCGGTAGACGTTACGGGACTTGCTCTGTATTGATTATATCCGGCTAAATCATCACAGGGGTGGCACTATAAAATTTCAACAGGGTGTGCCGGATGCCACCAGTTTCTTCGCCAGTACAGTCAAGCGACTTTCAGTTGAATAAATATTTTTTCCTTCCTATAAGCAAGTAGCTCCAGAGTTTGAATAATTAGAAAACGGCGCCAAATAATAAAACTACAGTTAAACAGAAATGTGAGAACACCTCTTGGCGCCCCAAATTTATTCATCAGGAGACAATATAAAAAATAACAACATCCACAGTTTTTGATTGCAGCATACTAGCTGTTCAAACATTGGAATATACTTGACTTCATACGAATCAAAATCTACAAATACCATTTTCTCTTTTTTATTTAGATTTTCAGCAGGCATATCTTCTGTTTGTTATATATTCATCCGTCTCAAAATGACTATACATATGCCGTGCGGATGATTGATGAAAAGCCTCAAATAGCATATTATACGATAGCTGTTGTTTTTATTCATTAAGAACTCGGAACCCTCTTTAATACAGAACCCTCCATTTTAAAAATTCCTGCATCCTCCAAGAAAACTTTTGCTGTGAGGTACGCAGTAACAGCTTCCGGCAGAGAAATCCTAAGGAACGAATCCAAGTTCCGGAGTAATACACACCGGAAAAATTTAAAAATGTAGCAGGTGCGTTACTTAGCCGGAAGAAAGTATTTGAAAACCCGATGGTGGATTTAATTAAAAAGTCGACCCTGCAGGATGGACGACTGTTTTTTTAATTTGCTCTCTTCTGCTTTTATAAGGTAATTTACACAGGAAGGAGATTCATTTAATATTAGAAAATGGATGTTTTGAGAGGGGGTCAGGAGATGAGGAGAGGTCTTAATATACAGTATGCTGCTTAAAAGGCCCTTTCATTGAAGTTGTACATTTCTCATGCGAAAGTTATAGTGTAAACTCTTTGTAGCCTTTTCATTTCTACGATAGTTAAAATGAATATGCCTTAAGAATGTGTTGTACTAATAGCTTAAGTTAAGTATGCATATCTCCTGAAATTCTTCTACCTGTTTTCCGTAGTCATGTCCATTCATAGTGTTTTTCGTTACTTTTCACGATATTTTAGTTCTCATGACGTCGATTTTGTTACAAATATTACCTTTCAAGTAGGCAGTGTGTCTTGACTTACTCAAGAACACCTATCATTAAAATAAAAGCAAAGTAAAAAGCCATGCGCGATTAAATCCAGGAAATATCTATAAACGGAGTTTTTTGACACTGAAAAATAAACATATTTCGAATTGTTCACATGTATGAAATTTTTGCATTCAAATATTTCAGAACTCATGTATTTTGAATGTTCATCAACACATTTGCATTTATTTTAGTACTGGTTTATTCTTATTCGTCACCTGATTCCTGCTATTGTAATAAAGGGATGTGTAGCACAGCTAACTTCAGTTATTTCGCGTCTCTTCAAGATTTCTTACGAGTCTGATACTTTCCCAGAAAATCGGAAGTTTGCTCATGTCCAGCCCGTCCCAGGAAAAGAATCTACTCGTAATACCGACCTTCGCAGCTCAGACCCATAGCTTTGTCAGCAAGGTGAAGTACATAAATAGGGAGCCTCAAGACTACCTAGCACACGGCTTGACTAGCGACAGACAGTACGGTTTCCCATATCCGCGGACATCGTAGCTTAAGTCACACAACTGTGGAGTAAACTCATCCAGTCTCATGATGATGTCGCTGCTTCTTAGCATTACAAAAAGTTTCGATCAGATGTGGCATACGATCCTATGGCCTCCCAGAGACGCTTTGTACATGTATAGAGCTGGCTTTCTTTCCGACCGCAAGATGTCCCAAGTAATTGACGGTTTCTTCTCTTCGCTTCTCATTATCAACACGAGTATTAACCAGTGATCAACCTTGGCCCCAACATTGTTTCTATTACGTATCAACGACCTCCTCTCCTGTGCTATCAAACTAATCCGCAGCCGATTTCTGCTGATGAGCTCGAACGAAGAAGAAAGACTAATAGCGACTTCCTCTCTGACGAAATACCTGAAGGTTATCACTGAATTATTGCTTGGGGACGCAACAGTTCTCAGTTTAATGCTTCCAAAACAAAGTATAGTACCTTGGCTAACAGGAAGCGCCCTAGCGTTAATGCGGTTGCAACCAGTTCTGCCAAAGAGCCATGCATTTCGGCTGGTCGGGAAGAACTTGTTATCGCTCGGACACACACATACACAACTACTGAGAAAAACTTAGGGTATTTGTTTAGGGCTAACAACTACTTTTCTCGATATAACCTTCCCACTCTATACAAGGCCCAGATAAGACTCAGCCTAGAGTACTGCTCACAAGTTTGGGTAGCACTCCGACTACATTGTCCATTCTCGCTGCTGTTCAGGGTAAGACTATCAGACTGATCGATGACACTTCTCTGACGGTCATTCTCGGAAGCCTTTCGCACGGATGGGCGGTCGCGACCTTGCTCTCTTCTATCGCTATTGCCACATCATTTGCTTCTCAGACCTCTCTTTCATGATGCCGCCGCGCGTTGAGCCTGACAGACGGACCCGCCAACGTTGTGCGTCCCACCTCAGCTCTGTCGAACTTCGCACATCTAGAACTGGCCGGTGCGACCGTTCCTTCGTTCCCAGGGTGTCGAGTTTGCTGAACAGTCCGCCTGAGGAGGCTTTTCCCAGTTCTACTAACCTTAGGCAAAGATTGGATTAACAAGGCTCTTTTAAGTTCCTTATAGTAGTCGCTGTGTATAAATAAAGTTCGGCATTTTGGCATATTTGTGTAAAATGCATACATGCTTACCTTAATCATTGTTATACGAGCGCATAGACGCAACACTTTCAACTTCAATTTTAGTCTAAAACATAGATACATAAACGTAAAGGTATTATTTACTGCACTCACCTTAAAAACAAATGCTAAACAAATCTATATACATAAATTAGAATAAGACTTCATCTTTTTTTTTAATGTGAGCTCAGTGTATGTTGTATTATAGATTTGAAGTAAATTTGCTTAAAATTGGTTAATCTTGGTCAAAAATTGTGAAATTTGGACTTTTAAAAGCCTTCAAGTAATAAAATAAAATGAAATATGTTGACGAAAGCTTAAAATAAATAAGTTCTAAAATATTTAAATGCATGAATTTCATAGATGGGAATAACTTGAAATTTGTCTTATTTTCACGGTCAAACTCCCCCCTTATAGATCCTGATCCTTTATTACAAACATTTATTACCGTGACAGACAGGATTACAACTCTAAAAATTAAAAGCCAAATTCATGTATTCATTTTTTTTCAAACAATTCTACAGAATTATGTATGTATAAAATTTAGTATGGTGTAAAACGACTTATTGTAAATAATATATTTCAGCACCGATACAGTTTTGCTGATGACAGCACCATACATGCAGGAATTAAAAGCGCAGCAGCGAATTGCTCTCTGTCAAGAGATATGGAGGTTATCACAGTTTAGGGGCGCAACAGTCTGGGACAGTTTGACGTTTCCAAGACAGAGTACTATACCTTGACTGGATTCGACTGATAGCTGATTTCTTCCAAAGACTTACTCATTTCAGCTGGTCTGAATCTAAATCATCGAAGACGTGACCTGGCATCTCATAGCTAGGCTGACCTAATTCTGTATAAGGCCCAGGTAAGACCTAGCCTTGAGTACTGCTCACAGGTTTGGGATGCTGCCGCCCCGACTACATCATCCATGTGCTCGATGCTGTTTAGAGGGGGGCTGTCCGACTGATCGACGAGTTCTCTCTAACGCACAGACTCGGAACTCTTTCACATCGATGGGGTCTTCAGCGGTCTGGCTCTCTTCTACCGCTGTGTCAACAGGTTTTGCTCCTCAGAACTCCCCAACATGATACCGCCGCGCGACGAGCCTGCCAGACATACCCAGACTTCAGCCCCCCATTCTAACCGTTTCGTACATCCAGAACCAGCCGGTACGACTGCTTCTTTAGCCCTAGGGTGTCGAGACTACGGAGCAATCTGCCCGTGGTGGCTTTTCCCAGTTCTACTAACCTTAGGCAGTTCAAAACTCGGATTAGTGAAGTTTCTTTAAGCTCTTTATAGCAGCCGCGGTACCCTAGCATTTAGGCTTCGGCCTGCGGTACTGTGTTGGTGCAAAAAAATATTGAAATTCAATTTTGTCTATGTTGAAATGCCCCATGTAAGGAAACCAGACGCTAAGTTCTAACATGTAAATGCGAATAAGTTATTGACACTTCATCATATATGCCCGATGTCTTCGCCCCATCGTCGAGCCAATCCATCCTGTTGCGAACTTATTCCGGCGATACGCGGAAATATACCCGAACCCCGGATCCATGTTGCAAAAGTCTGAATGTATCTGTACAAATTGTCCATGCATGAGGAACTTTGGCCGGTACGTGCTCGGGCCCAGATATTGTGTTCTGGGCTCTCGGGTGATTGATATACGGATACACACGGAGTATAGGCTGGGAGTTAAATGTGGGTAAGGGGAAGGCCATGCAAGGCATGGACAGTTGAGGAAATTAAGCTCTTTCATAATTAAGAAATAGATAGTTACGTTGGTTGGTTAGGTCGGGATATGTTTGGAGATCGTATTTTCTATTCAAAAATGTTGCGTTTAAAGATGTTTATCGGATTTTCTGGTACGCCAACGGCTATAACATCTAAATTATATGTTTTAACGTATAATGGGATTATTGGATACAATGTGTGAAACTGGAATATTTTTATATAGATAATAAACTATAGAAAAACCTCAGCATATTGTAGTTTACATAAAGTACAAAACATGCAGTATATAATGCAGTTTCATCTAATTGATCATGCGACGTTGCCAAGTATACGCAATTTATAGATTTCCCCAGATCTGACCAAATTATGAACGCTCCAATACTGTTCAGTAAATATTGGGAGAACTACATTTTAAGAAAAAGTAATATACATCGTAAATATATTCTCCAATTAAATCATTCTCTATTGTTTAGGCCTATACTGTTCAAGATTTTATCTAATTTCCAGTGAATATTAGTTCAAGTACTTAAAAAAGTAATTTGCCTCATATATCTTCCAACAAAATCTGTAGTTCATTTTCTATAGGTAAGGCCTATACTAATTTGGATTTTACCTAATTTTCACTAAATATTGGGAGAACTAATAAAAAAAGTCATTTGCCTGAAATATCTTTCATTCATTTGAATCGCGGCGCTACTGCAGTTTGCATTGGTTAGGCTTATTCTGTTCAGGACTACATCTAATGTTCATCACATTTGAGAAAACTATATAGAAAAGTCATTTACTTAGTAGAATTTTGCTTTTTGTTTGTAATTCACAAAAACCTTTTGCTGATTTTCACGGTTATTGTAAACAAGAATAAATACTCATTAATGACATATTTATGCTTGCTCCTAAACAGGGTTTGCCGACGTCGCCCTCATATAGACAATTACAGTTGTTAACTTATTTCATATTGACGTTGGTACAATTTCTATATATTTTTGTAAATGTTCACAAATTATCATTTTCTTATAAACAATATTATTATTAAAGTACATTTTTGCAAAATAACTGAAGAAACATTTCTGTAGAATAGGAAGTACAGGGTTCATACATTACACTAAATATGAGTTTACGAGAAATTAACAACTTATTTCAGCTCGGGTTGTAGAAATAGTGCATTCCTAAGGAAATGTTTTTTAGATCCTGTTGAAAAACATCAAAATCCAGCCAGTTCAATCTAACTTTTTGGGCGATTGAATTACTAAATTTTTGATTTATGATCCCCAAAAGATAAAGGTAAAGTCACATCATGGTTCGTACAATTTTTTATATATCGCTTGACGTAATGGAGCTACGAGGTAGCTATGTAAATTAAGTGATGAGACTGGTAGCTTAGCGTTCGCTATGGCAGCACTGGAATCACCGGGCTTGAAGGGGTGACAGGAGAACATGTGATCCACCTCCAGTACAAGTTTAAACTCGTTCGAGTCATCTGGTTATCCGCAGATATCTTTTTGTGAAACAGTCTTTACCATTGTGTTCTAAAAATGTGTGACATCTATCTAAAGCAACGGTGTGGTATTAGGTTTTGCTTCAGTCTCGCGCACAGTGCAATGGAAACTCTTGCTGTACACTCCTACGGAGACGATGTTTTGTCAAGAGCCAAGGTTTTTTGGTGTTTTAAGGCATTTTTTAGAAGGGAGAGAGTCGATTGAAGATGAACCACAAAGCGGCAGGCCTTCATCTTCAAGATCCGAAGAATTTGACTTACACCACCGTTCGTTAGATCAAGAACATTTGATTGTTTCATCACGATAATGCTCCTTGTCACACAGCAGAGTCAATAAACGAGTTTTTGGCCTCTAAAAACATTACTGTGGCTCCTCAGCCTCAGCTGAAGGCTATTCCATTAGTCGGAGTCGGCACTTCAGGAGCGGAAGACCGATCTCCAGCGCTGTGTGTCTTCAGGCATCACCTAATTTACAGATCTTGTACCAACCGATTACACACTAAAAAATTAGCCTGTATCTACACCAGAATTAAATCTCTTCGTAAAAGGATTCACGTAATTTGGTAGGATCAAGATAGCTATGAAGTGACAACAGCGGCGGTCGAATGAAAGATGCGTTTCGAAGCCGAGGCGCGTCTGTCGTTTGTTTTAGCGAGGCACGAGGCAAGGCAGTTGTGATTCTTTGCGATGTATTTTCAGCCTCGAGGGATGCCGACGCGAAGCGCGAACTCTGAAATGGTGCAGATGTACCGATTTGTCTTGCTAAGACTCAAAAGTCTTGGAACATATTTTTGTTTAGCGTTGCTACTGTCTACGGTATTTTAGATAGTTGCCACGTCAACAGGTGTCAACGAAATAGACATATTAGGTATGTTTTGAAATGTTGACATGTTACTTTACGCCAAGGATCAAAAAAGTTGTGAGAATTGGTTCAGTTTCTGACCATTATTGGGTGTAGTGAAAAAAAACCTGGTGGGGCAAAAGGAACATATTATTTGTTTGACAAATATCACCAGTTGTCAGAATTTGGGACTATTTTACAGGGAATAGAATCACGCTCACTTTCTCTCAGTAATTATATTCCTTCTTTTGAAAATAAAAGAGTGAAAATTTCTAAAAGTTACTTTAGACTGCAATCTGCCAAAGGAATTGTCAGACCGTAATTTACATGCCATTTTTTAACTTCTTTGAACAATTTTACTTTGAAATAATTATATACTGTGGAGCTTAATACTCTCCAAGGACATAAATAGGCGGAAAATTTTGAGCGCATCTCCACATCGAACCGGTCGGCCTAGGACCCTAAAAGTCAAGTAGGTTAACTCTATGCATCCCACGTAACGCCATCTTCAGTTCGTTCAGCACAAGTTAGACCCTCTCGAAATAAGACTGTATAGAGACTGTATTTTTATTGTTCTAAGTTTTAAGGGCAAATGCAAGTAAGTTGACTCGGTACTTCACGCGTAACGCTCTCATCAGTTCGTAAAGGATTATGTTAGTTAGCCCTTCTAAGAAAAAAGTTAGTTAGGAACATGGATAGCAAAAAATTGAATGACCATCCTCCTCCCGAAGAACGTAATTCCTGCAGACCCACATGATCGTTACAATGACCAATCCCGCGAGAAAGACGATATTGGACTTCACCGTGAACAGTGCACACAGCAGTGGGAAAACGACTGCCGAGTGTGACGAACGATTACCGACCACGACGCTTGTCCATCGAAGGACCACGTTACATGCAACGACACCCGACTGTTGAAGTAACCCCAATTTTTAAGCACCACAAAAAATTTTCGAAAATGAGCAGGTCTGAAACGTCAGAAAACGAAGTTTGAGCGGCTTTTCATTTATTTCTTTATGTTTGGGCTGTTCTTTTGTCGCCACTGGGTCGATTTTTGAAAACTACAAAGCATTTTCGTCATGGCATAGTAACCTTGCGTGAAAAAATTGTCAAAAGTCGACCGGTACTTTCCAAGATATAGACGGGCCAGGGATATGCGGACAGTCACTCAGACGGATTGACAGACAGATAGACCGACAGACCGACGGAAATCAGTGACATGATGGTTTTTGGCCAATCTATGATGTGTAAAATCGTTCCGTAGAATCATCTGGGTTGGAAGTGTATAAGTTTACAACCCCCTACCCTTAATTTTTACGTCAAACGTCAACAGATGAAGTTCCAGCGATTTTTAATTTTTTTTTCGTTTCTGGCCCTTATAGGGCGGCTCAGGATTAGCGGACAACATAGACCAAATACACCGACGGAAATGAGTGACATCGCAATGAACATGTCATATAAGATCCACAAAACGCAATATCTCATTTTTGGATTTTTTCGCGATTACAATACCTACTTCCTCGTCCTTTAGGCGTGAGGAATAAAAATTGAGTCGGATCTGAGATATGACCCACCAAGCGGTTTAAGAGTTTTAGTTTTGACCCATATCACGAAGCCTTTCATCACAGCGTTGTCTTCAGAGATGAAACTGATAGACGTCGGCGTGACTTCCGTACTGTTTGCCCTGAGAATGACTCTGGGAGCGACTGTTTGTTCTCTGTGTTAAGGAATACATCTCCCCAACAAGTAATAAAAGCATCCATTCTTTCTTCCAGTTATTCTACTCTCTCATTCCCACAATCGATCTACAGGTTCTTTTACAGCCTAGCTTTGCTTCAGAAGGATATAAACCATTCTGTAACTATTTTCGCTCCACCTCACAATATTTTTTTCTTCGCCTTCAGTCGTATATAAGTAATTATTATGCCGTCTAATTTTTTAACACCGCCAAACGGCAACACACTTTCAGTCATAAAGATAATATGTAAATGTAAAAAACATTTGCAGGATTTGTCAAGGTGGAATAGGGTGCTAAATGGCACATAACAACAACTTTTCACCTTCATATCGACAACAAAGAGTTTTTATAGATCTGAAGAAATAGTACCTAACTTTGTTGGCACAAAAGCTATTTGTGATAAGAGCTACAAGCACATGTGATTAAATATTAATTAACATATTTTACTGATTTTGAACATGATAGTAAATGTCGAAGCATCATTTGAGTTAGTT